TTGCACCAAGTTGCAAAGGCTTTGCTTAACTCCATCGGTAGGGGCTGAACCTCAAGTCATGGTTACCTGCTAACGCATTCCAAGGATTATCTTTTCAGCGTCTTCCCATCCGACGCTCTTAAGTCGTCATGTTGGTCCCAACGCCGTCTCGGCGATAAGTGAGCTGGATGAAAACTGGCATAACTCGAATCCATCCTCTGCATGTATCTCCTTCACTCGGATCGATACGCTGATAGCCTCGCTCTCTAGCGACACTATCCACATAGTCATCGACATAATGGTAGTCGGTGATGGCCTTACTGCTCTCAGATTCGAATCTCGAAACTTCAGAACATTCACAGTCTTTACGTACTGCGCAGCGCTTTTCGAGCATGCAACATGGTCGTCCTTCCAGAGTTATCCCGTCTGGTAGCGACGCTCCAATCTCACTGCGGTGTTTTCGAGTATCCTTTGGGTCCGCACATCGTCGCTGCCTGCGATCTAAGGCACGAGCTTCACATCAAAGTTCTCCATGTCGAAGTAGTCCTACAGCATCTGCTCCACCGTATCATTGACACGGCTAGTGGCAGTACTTCGGTGACGGAGTAGTCGATTGCCCACTTACTAGCCCAAACGCCGCATACGATCCCTCTCTGGCAAACCGCCTCGTTCTAAGTGGCAATCCTAGGTGTCCGTGGTTCAGTCCAATAAGCACCTTCGGCACTGCGTTGCTGTACGGCTTCATCTGCAGAAGCGCATCCGTGTGCACGCAATGGTCGTCCCGTCGTTCAGCCGGGCACTTCGTCTATGAGAATGCTGCATCTTCCCAGGTTCCAATACAGCGCTGCCTCCGCGCATTAAAAATGGCGACACCTGGACCTTCTGGACGCTGCCTGCGGCCGTCGATGCTTGGCGCTCCTTGCGCCTCCTGACCGCTGTGTGCGGTCTTCTTGTCGATGTCTGCAACTCTCGGCGTTCGGCGCTGTCTGCTCTCCTCTACGTAACTGTCTGCGGCTCTGCCGGTACGTTCCAGTGTTCGGCGCTGTTCGCGCCCCTTTATGTCGCTGCCTGCGACTCTTATGCCGGTACGTGAGATGCTGCTGGCGTTCCCGGCAACTGGCCGTGAAACCGTCACTCCAGCGCAAGTTGCCCTTGCAGTCACTCTAGGACTGCGAATAAAAGTTGTCGCGCGTCACATGGAGTTGCCTTAAACTACTGCCCCTCATCAATAGTTCCCAAAGAAAGGGTAGACTGGGTGTGGTTAAAAAAAGCGAGTTTTATTCTGAAAATAATTGATAACTTGACCTCACACAAATGACTCTACATAGTCTTAACATACTAACATACATACACCTAACAATGAAAAACGGATTTTCCCGCAATTTATGATGGCGCTCTCAGAATGCCTAATTCTAACTCCGGCTTAAAATCCATCCAGTTTAATATTAGTTCATTTTAAATCGGTGTGACCGTAGTCGGATTATAAAAAATATAAAATATATAGTTGTCTCTTTCAATTTCTAATGAACTGGCTAATTAATGACAACTGTATTAATGTGCCATAGCGCCATATGCAGTTGTGATTTTGTAAAACATATATATCAAAAGGCGTGGGAGGGAAAATTAATGAAAAAATTTAAACATAATAAGGTTTTCTTACCGTTGTTGCATTCTGACGGCTGGAATGCGCACAGAAATTAGGTAAGTTTGAAATAGTAACCAGGACGCGAGGTTGGAAGGACCAGGACAAGAGTGGAAATTGGAAAAGTGAAAACGCCAAAAAATAACCGGCCAATGGCAGATCAAATTGGTATCTACGGCGGATAAACCCTTCTTATTTTTTGTTTTCTCGAAAATATGAAAAATGAGTGAACGGTACAATAACAATTTTCAGGGAAATTCCAGAAAAATCAGAGATAAGAAAAAACGTTTCGAGGAGGAAGATAGAAGGCAGTTTGACAGAAGAATAAAAGCGAGTCCATTCCTGAGGGAACCTAGATCTAGAATTAATAAAATAAGGGTTTCAGACCGCATATAGGTCGAACATTCTCCACCTCTTGCAAGGATAGGCAACAAATGTACCAGTTAGGATTAGCTCTGGAAAGTGTAGGATAACGCTGAGCGCTCGTTGATATGGAGAAGAGTGTGGTGATCCTGTTCACACGACTGGCATCGGTCGATACTTCGGCAAGATCCTCCGGAATGGTGGTGGGCGAGGCAGTTGACACAGTACTTCATTTCGATGACTGCCTGGAGCCGTTTCTTTGCATCAAGCCGAAGAAAACGGTGGCATTTCTGAAGAGGATGGTTCCCTTGGCACACTCGGCATTGGTAGGATAAAATACCTCGGGAACGTCTGCTTTTGCTGTGTTCGTATGGAAGGAATCAGAAGAATCAGAATCAGAAGTGGTAGCTCGGGTGGAGAACAAGCGAATTCTTTGAACAATTTGAAACAAAAAAACAGCACAAAAAAACGATAACAAATTAAATAATACAAAAAAATATTTTCTTTTCAGCAAGCACAATTTAAAATGTAACTAAAAGGCGCAACGCACATGTGAACAAAATCACACATGAGTCTAAAAGGGTCTTCCCACACAACATTAAAGCACATTCAACATCCGTTGAACAAACGCTCCATAAGGTTTTGCCGTTCCGAATTTTCCCAAATGGACCGGCGTTAGTTCAACATTAAAATCTAACCACTGTTTGTTTAGCGATAGTTAGGCGATAGTTTTTCATTCATCACGAAAATGTAAACAAATTGGTGATGAACAAATGAGATATGGAATTTAAAACGTGGCGCCAAAGCTACAAGCATGCCCAAATTAGTTGTTGGCGTTTTTTCTATATATTCTTGCCCCAATATGTCCCCAATTGTTACTATTTAATATAAACCGCCTACCTCTACCTTATTTTAAAGATTTTGGATGCCTATACCACCTATAGACACTCTTCGGGGAATTTGCTCTTTGTTAGAGAAAAATCATTAGAAAAACTAAAATTCCTTGTCATTTAATTCATTTAAATTTAGTGCGGATAAATTCTGACGCAATCTGTGCATTTTGCTGTTGTACAACAGCCAAAATAGTTGGTAAATGCTCCATTTCAAATTTGCAACTGCCAATTCGACAGCCTTTGTTTACGTTTTCATGAGCCACAGCTGATCGATCAGCTGTTCGGATGTTAAATGTGCTCTTCCCACACAGCACATTTGTGAGGAACGTTTGGGATTTTTCACAAATGTGAAACTCGTGTTCCCACACAACATTAATAGGGTCTTCCCACACAACATTAAAGCGCATTTAGCATCCGTTGAACAAATGCTCCATAAGGTTTTGCCGTTCCGAATTTTCCCAAATGGGCCGGCGTTAGTTCAGCATTAAAATCTAACCACGGTTTGTTTGGCGATAGTTAGGCGATAGTTTTTCGGTGCAACTCTGATTCTTCTTCTTAATTTGACCATTCACCACGAAAATGTAAACAAATTGGTGATGAACAAATGAGATATGGAATTTAAAACGTGGCGCCAAAGCTACAAGCATGCCCAAATTAGTTGTTGGCGTTTTTTCTATATATTCTTGCCCCAATATGTCCCCAATTGTTACTATTTAATATAAACCGCCTACCTCTACCTTATTTTAAAGATTTTGGATGCCTATACCACCTATAGACACTCTTCGGGGAATTTGCTCTTTGTTAGAGGAACATCATTAGAAAAACTAAAATTCCTTGTCATTTAATTCATTTAAATTAAGTGCGGATAAATTCTGACGCAATCTGTGCCTTTTGCTGTTGTACAACAGCCAAAATAGTTGGTAAATGCTCCATTTTAAATTTGCAGCTGCCAATTCGACAGTCTTTGTTTACGTTTTCATGAGCCACAGCTGATCGATCAGCTGTTCGGATGCTAAATGTGCTTTAATGTTGTGTGGGAACACGAGTTTCACATTTGTGAAAATTCCCAAACGTTCCTCACAAATGTGCTGTGTGGGAAGACAGTACAAAACCGTATTGTATTATCGGTCCAAATTTAATATCTAGTATATTTTACGTAGATCTATTTATTTTCGTGGCAATGAAGTAGCTAATTCGATATTATAATACTGTGTTCCCACACGGCGCGTATGTGTGGAACGGTTGGGATTTTTAATAATAGTGAAACTCGTGTTCCCAAAGTTCTGCGTTAACGTGCATCCGCATCCAATAACAGCTGATCGATCAGCTGTGGCTCATGAAAACGTAAACAAAGGTGGCTGATGCGGCCGATGTGGGATTAAAATTAATAGTTTGTCAACTGTTTAGGCTGTTTAACACCAGCAAAAGCACAGATTGCGTCAGATTTTATCCGCACTAAATTTAAATGAATTAGATGACAAGGAATTTAAGTTTCTCTAATGATTTTTCTCTAACAAAGAGCAAATGCCCCGAAGGGTGTGTATAGGTGGTATAGGCTTCCCAAATCAAAATAATAAAGTAAAGGTAGGTGTTTTATATTAAATAGTAGCAACACTTTGGGGCAAGAATATACAAAAAAAAAACACCAAACACTATTTTGGGCTTGCTTGTAGCTTTGGCGCCACATTTTAAATTCAATTTATCAAATGTTTCTCGCCAAGTTTGTTTACATTTTCGTAGTGAATAGTCCAAATTTCACTGTTAAGAAGAAGAAATCAAAAAAACTATCGCCTAACTATCGCTAACTAACCGTGGTTAGATTTAGATGCGTTCTAACGGCGGTCCAAAATGAGAAATTCGGAACTACAAAACCTTATGGGCAGTTAGTTAAACGGACGGTGGATGCGCTTTGACGGTGTGTGGCAAGACCGTATAATGCGTTAAAAGTGTCATATGGTCACCTTGCTCGCAATTGTGTAAAGCGCTTTAGCGCTGTCAAATCTTTAATGAAATCTCTAACGGATGCTGAATTGCAAAGAGATCTCTGTGGAAAGAGGTTATTACGACTTGGAAAAACTTCGATGCTGTCCTACCAAACATCGATAACATCAATGTTGACTTCGACGATTCTCCACCTCTATCAACTAGTATGGTGTGATTTGTTTACACCGGTGAAGTTAATGAGAAATATAATAAACAATGTCGTCGACGGATACTATTCCTGTAAACACATTTAGAAATTATTTAAATATTCTAAATGATTCCTCTGCAAAAGAGGAAATCAAGTTAAAAGCTACACAAGAGCTTAGTGAACACTTCGAAATGATAATGCAAAGCCCGGCTTACCCTTCATTCTTAGAAAATGCCTTGAAAATATTCATGCGAATTTTGCAAGAGGGCGAGCCCCAGTTCATTCAAGAAAACACAATGCAACACGTAAGTTTATATTTAATACATATAAAATGCTTCTATTTCTAACAAATTTAATTCAATAGTCAAAGCGTAAAGTAACAATTTATATACAGTATGTCAACAAAGTGTTTTGACAATGAAAAGTGTTTTGATTTTTTATGTTTGCATGCCAAAAAAAAGGAAGTAGAAGCCAGTGGACTTCTGGTTTTTTTTGCGACGAAACAAAGATGATGTTGTACTACAATATATAACATTACTCCAGAAGTCCACTGGCTTCTCCTGGTGTTTCTGGGCAAACCAAAGTCGCTTTTCGATGTTTACTTTCGATAGCAACAATTTTAAGGATGTGTACTCGGTCTGTTTTAGCAGCTTTCGGACGGTTTCGTGAGAAACATTTAGATTACTTGTGTCCTTAATATCGCTTGCTATGGATCTGAGCGAAACATGAGGTATTTTGGCCAGTTCCCTTAGCAATTTTCGCTCATCTCTCTATTTACAGTCAACACACAATTTATTCGGACACCCTTGATTTCCAACTTGATTCATTAATAATAATTAATAACAAATACGTAACGAAAACCAACAAATTAAATTTAATAAAAAAAATAACGAACTTTCGATATAAACATTAGATATTTTCTTAAACAAACGAAAAAAGTCATAAATTTACGCACAAAAATTACTCGTACACATCAAAGAATATTAAAAAAAAAACATATTTCTTGATCCAATATTTTTAATATTTGGTGGGTCCTCCCTTAGCATTGATGAGAGCTTGTAAACGTCGACCCATGCTTTTTACCAAGTTGCTGGTGTCGTTAGCGCTTATTTGATCCCATTCTGCCATCAACGCTGTTTTTATGGACTCCTTGGACGAAATGGCGTGCTTCCGAATCTTTTTCTCCAGAATATCCCACACGTGTTCAATCGGATTTAAGTCAGGTGACTGGGGGATGTGTTTTTAGCTGCTTGCAGTGATATAGAAGCCACTCTTGCACCAAATACGAAGAATGTTTCGGTTCATTATCTTATTGAAACAAGAATGTCTTCGTATCTAGACCCAGTTTTATCACACTCGGAATCAAATTTTCGCTCAAAATGTTTTTATACATTATCTTGTCCATTTTGTCGTCAATGAAGACCATTCGGCCGACTCCACCTGCAGCTACACACCCCAAACCATTACATTCCCGCTACCATGCTTAACAGTCGAAATTAGGTTTTTCTCCTTCACGGCTTCATTTGGTTTTCTCCACACTTTCGAGGGGCCATCAATATATTAAATTTTGATTTAGTATTTAGCGACGAATCTAAATTTAACATATTTGGACACGATGGCCCCTCTAAAGTGTGGAGAAAACCAAATGAAGCCATGAAGGAGAAAAACCTTATTCCGACTGTTAAGCATGGTGGCGGGACTGCAAGCAGCTAAAACACCTCCCCCAGTCACCTGACTTAAATCCGATTGAACACGTGTGGGATATTCTGGAGAAAAAGATTCGGAAGCACGCCATTTCGTCCAAGGAGTCCATAAAAACAGCGTTGATGGCAGAATGGGATCAAATAAGCGCTAACGACACCAGCAACTTGGTAAAAAGCATGGGTCGACGTTTACAAGCTCTCATCAATGCTAAGGGAGGACCCACCAAATATTAAAAATATTGGATCAAGAAATATGTTTTTTTTTTTAATATTCTTTGATGTGTACGAATAATTTTTGTGCGAAAAATTATGACTTTTTCCGTTTGTTTAAGAAAATATCTAATGTTTATGTTGAAAGTTCGTTATTTTTTTGTTAAAATATATTCTAAGAATGTTAATCTTCACTATGTAATTTAATTCGTTGGTTTTCGTTACGTATTTGTTGAGTTATTAATGAATCAAGTTGGAAATCAAGGGTGTCCGAATAAATTATGTGTTGACTATAGGATGCTGTATGTTGTCTGCCGTAATACGGAGAACATTTCAGACAGTTCCTGGACGTTTTTTCCCGATCTGGTGGTTATAATAAACCAGTTGTGCAACATCGTGCGAAGTTCTCTTTCCAGGCATTTTTTTTAATCTTGATAGAACTTGTCGCGCCAAAATTGATTGACAAATGATTAGGAACGCAAAGGCTAAGAGGAGAAAAAAAAACCAAAGCTCAATTCCAATGGGAGCTGTCCTAAATCTGTATATGTAAGGCTTTATTTGCCGCTGATGTCAAAACACTTTCTTGACAGTATGAAATCTGCATGTTATTTGTTTTTATTTTTTTTAAGACAGTTACCAAATGAAATGTTGTTATTTTTTCTCATAAATTAGTACTTACCTACAGAATCGAAATACAATTTTTAAAATATTTAAAAACGCTGATTACTTTCTTTTTTTGGCATGCAAACATAAAAAATCAAAACACTTTTTATTGTCAAAACACTTTGTTGACATACTGTATGTACATACAATGTATGTAATTACATTGTCGGCTTAAAAATATTTGAATTGTATTAAAATATAAATAATAAACCATTAGACGCTATTAATTAGCAAATAATGAACGATTTTCTAAGATGTTCGCTGACTTTTGAGACAGCTTTTTTTTGGGGGAATTTGGTAAATTAAATTGCCGTTCAATAACTGATTATTTCCCTTTTTAAAATGTCTTTTGCGAACTACATATCATTTAATGAACGACATTTATTATATAAACCTTTTTTTTTCCTGCCGGATAGAGAAGCGCTTCATGCGAGCAATGTTTTTATTATCAGAATTTTCCTCTATATTGCCTTTAAAAGTAACGTAAATTCTGTTATTTTTTGAGTAAAATCACAGCTATTTATTTTTTTTAATTTAATTTTAATGGCTCAATATCTTAAGAATATTGTGTCCAAGTTTTATATCGATCATAGCTAAATTGACCAAATTATGCAGAGTTGAACGAAGGTAAAAGAAGTTTGCAACGCAGTGAGGTAGACATTTCCGACCCTATAAAGTATATATCGACGCATTTCCGCGAAAGTATCGTATGTCGCTTTTTTTCGAAATTGAGATTTTAATGCAAAATTGTTAAGCACCTAACGTCTTACTATCCTGTGAAATATTATAACTGAAAGCTCTATAGTTCCGATAAAAATTAAGTTTCAATTTTTTAATTATTTAATTAATTAATTATTTTTCAATTCCACAAGACAACGCTAACAACTTAAAAAAAACAAAAAAAAAATTGGTTATCTTTATGTCACAGTTTATTTCATGCAAAAACTTTGGGTGCATTTAATTTGTTAATTGTTATTTAAAAATATCTAATTCTTTTTGTGCGCTCCGCACGACTATAGAGCTGCGGGAATTGGTCCTTAATCATTTTAAAAGTGAAAAACTTGGCGAAATATTACTTAAATAGTTAACCTAACCATAAGTACTGTTCAGTAAATCATCCCAAGCTTCAATCGGGAAAATCGGGAGGCAGGTAATGGCTGAAATGCTCCAAACCAAATTTTTATTAAGCTTGAGGAAAGGTACATTATCCGGAAAATTAGTGTTAATTCAAAATATTTGGCGATAAAACTAATAGTAAATGTTGGACATGAAATGGCCTAAAAGTATTCCGTGAAAACCGTCCGACGGTTATAATGGGAACACAACTTTAAAGGCCGAGTAACCCGGAAAAAGGCTTTCAAAATCCATAAAAATACGAAGTGCAGGCTTAAATTGGCCAAGGAGCACATAATTTCATTAGCTTTCGTTCTGGAATGAATTTATTTTCACATACGAGACCAAATTCAATATTTATAAGGTAGGACCGAGAGCAATATGTTCAAAAACAACAAAATTCAGAGCTCCACCACCAGAACCGATCCCCTACAGTCAAGCACGGTAGTGGTACTCGCATGGTTTGGGCGTGTATGGCTGCAACCGGTGTTGGAAACCTAGTTTTCATCGAGGGAAATATGGCTAGAATATGTACCTTCAACTTTGGAAAGATAATTTGCTTCAGATCGCCGATATATTGGGCCCAAATCGGATCTGGATCTGGGCATCCACAAGAAGTCGATATCTAATAAAAACAGGCCCATTGGAAGAATGGGCCAGGATTCCAAAGGAGTCCTAAGAAAAGTTGGTTTCTTTCATTAAAACTCTTTTAGAAGACAAAAAAAATTTGTAAGTTTAAGAAAAACCGAAGTATTTAATATCATCTTTTTTGCACTAAATAAGCTGTGACATAAAGATAACCAATATTTTTGGTTTTGTTATGTTTTTAGCATTGTCTAGTGGAATTGAAAAATAATTAAGGACTTAAATAAATGCTTAAACCCTACTTAACAATACTGCATTTAAATTTTCTTTATATCTCGTATAGTTTGTCAGATATACAAGTTTGAATTTCAAGTTTACCTCTGCACGAAATAAGCTGTGAGCCACTGTATATTCTTGATCAGCATCAACAGCCGAGTCGATCTAGCCATGTCCCTCTGTCTGTCCGTTTCTACGCAAACTAGTCTCTCAGTTTTAAAGCTATCTTAATGAAATTTTGCATATAGTCTTCTATATACTCTCACTGCTATATACAGCTGTGTTCACGGAAATAGCAGTGCCCCACGACCTGCACGTTTAAGATTGGAAAATACTGTTACAAACACTATTTTGTTTCATAAAGGCTTAGTGTATTTAATTATTAACAATACCACAATCATTTAATTTAGGTAACATAAACCTTTTAGAAGATATAGCTAATAACAACAAAAAAGGTCTATATTATGCCGTTCATTGAAATAGCAGTGAAAAACTAAAATTCTTCATAAATTTAAAAATATCGTATAGGAAACCTATTTCTTCTTAAATTCTAATTGACTATGATCTAATATTTTGTTAAATAGCCTTTAGAAGCTATCATAGCCTCATACCTGGGTGGCAAGGAGTCCACCAAGTCTTAGCAACGCTTGAGGGGAACATGGCCTTATTCCTCCTGCACAAATTGCCAAAGCTGCGGCTTAGAAGTCGGAAACTTCTTTAATACGTAGCTCTTGATGTCCCCCATAAGTTTTCGA